CTATCTATCTATCTATCTATCTATCTATCTATCTATCTATCTATCTATCTATCTCAGACAGAGTTTCTCTGTGGATCCTGCCTGTCCTGAAACTCACACTTTAGAATAGCCTTGGGCTGGAGAGATGGCTCAGCAGTTAAGAGCATCGACTACTATTCTAGAGGTCCTGAGTTCAATTCCCAGCAACCACATGGTGGCTCACAACCATCTGTTATGAGAGCTGATGTCCTCCTCTGGTGTGTCTGAAGATAGCTACAGTGTTCTCACATACATAAAATAAATAATAAATAATTTAAAAAAAAGAATAGGCTGGCCTTAAACTCTGAGATCTGCTTGCACCTGCCTCTCCAATGCTCAGATTAAAAGTGTGCAACCATGCCTGGTCCCAAAAATGATAATAAATATTGACTCTGTTGTGTGATTTTTAGTGATCTTTTTGTTGTTGTTGTTTTGTTTTTGTTTTTTGAGACAGGGTTTCTCTGTGTAGCCCTGGCTGTCCTGGAACTCACTCTGTAGACCAGGCTGGACTCGAACTCAGAAATCTGCCTGTCTCTGTCTCCCAAGTGCTGGTATTAAAGGTGTGTGCCACCACTGCCCGGCAAGTGATCTGTCTTAATGCAGATCTACAGTGAAAACGAACAAGTGGGGCCAAAATAAATAAGGAATATACAGTTTCAAGAGAAAAAGAACACCAGAACAAGTAGTGTTGGAAACAAGGGTTGTGCTGAAAGAGAAAAGGAGACCAAGGCTGTGGAGACGGCCCCGAGGTTGAAAGCACTGGCTGCTCCTGAGGAACTTAGGTCTCACTCCCACATGCTGCGGATTCTCGGCCTCTGCCCATCTTGAAGCTTCCATGCTGCCAGAACTAACATCATATGGGAGACTCTTACACATTACTAAGTTCAGCACCCACAGGGCAGGGCAGCTCTGCTTCTCTAGTTCCAGGGGATCTGATGCCCTCTTCTGGCCTCTCTAGACACCTCACACACTTGTGCACAGACATACACATAGACAACATACTCATACACACAAAATGAAAATAAATCCTTAAAAAATAGAGAAGAGCTGGGTGGCTGTGGTGCACACCTTTAATCCCAGCACTTAGGAGGCAGAGGCAGGTAAATCTCTGAATTCCAGACCAGCCTGGACTACAGAGTGAGTTCCAGGACAGCCAAAGCTACACAGAGAAACTCTGCGTTGAACAACCAAGAGAGGGCAGGGGTGGAGAGAGATCAAGGCAAGGCCTAATCTGTATTAGGATAAAACCTCATTGTCTTGATCTAATCTATGTAAGAAATAAGTTATATTAGTTTACAGAACAGAATATATTAATCTATAGAACAGAATAGTTTGTGTTGTATTTCTGTGAATAGACAACCATGACAAAGGCAATTTGTAGAAGAAAACATTTAATTCAGATTTACTATATATAGTTCAGAGGTTAGAGTCTGTGATCATTGTGACAAGAAGCATGACAACAGGCAGGTGTGGTGCTGGAGCAGTAGCTGATAGCTTGTATTCTACCTGAAGGTGCCAAGCAGGCTGGCAGGCAGACACACCCACACCCACACCCAGAGAGGACAGTTGGGACAGACAGACTGGGTGCTGGCTTTGAGACCCCAAGGCCCACCCTGAATGCATGCTTCCTCTAATGAGGCCACACTTATCCTTCCTAAACAGTCCATCAACTGGGAACCAAACATTCAAGTAGATGAACATATGGGGGCCTAGCACTGAAGCTGCCACAGATGCCTGTGGATGAGACCCTACCAGCTAAGCTAGTGTGAAAAGGAAGAGCCCGAGGAATTTCTTACTCCCAAGAACCATGACAAAGGAAAACTGCAGCGAATGTGATTTCAGTGGTGCCGGGCTTCATCCCAAGAAGGCAGCAGAATTTGCCTGTGGTGTCTGTGTGGTTCTGACTTTAGAGTTGTGAAGGAGACATTGATAAAGTCATGGAGTTTTCCTCTGTAGTTATGGAGAGCCACTGAGAGCAGGTGTATGGCAGTGTAGGCCCTGCACAGAAGGTACTGAGAAGCCATTGTGAGACATTTTGAAATTGAAGCCTGGATTTCAGTGGAGACCCTAGAGCCATAAGACCTCTGCCAAGGAGAGAGTGTCTTGAGCCTTAGAAGATATTTGGATCTAAATAGTGGTGAGGCTGTGGACGCCTATGGGAGCGTTCGATGTAGGAGTGAATGCATTGTGCATTACGGTATGGTCTCTGGCGGCCAGGGAGTGGAAGGTGCTGGTCTGAATGAGAATGGCTCCCATAGGCCATGTTTCGGGTTTTGGTCCCCAGTGGTGGAATTGTTTGGGAAGAATTGGGTGTGGCCTTGTTGGTGGAGGTGGTCTTTGAGGTTTTAAAAGACTGGTGCCAATTCACAGTGTGCTCTCTGCCTCTCAGCTATGCTCTAGCTGCCTGTGGCCAAGCCTTAACTACATCAGCATGGACTGGGCCGCTAAGCCCGGTGAAACTGTTTTATAAATTACTTTGATCATGACGTTTTATCATAGCAATAGAAATGTAACTATGTCAGGCACCAAGTGCTCTTAACCACTGAGCCATCTCTCCTATCTAATTATGTGTTGGTTTGCACTGGGTGTGCGCATTTGTGCCAGTTAGTTTTTTGTCAACCTGACACAAGCTTGACACAAGTCATCAGAGAGACAATTGAGAAAATGTTTCCATGAGCCTGGGCTGTAAGCAAGCCTGTGGGGTCATTTTTTAAATTAGAGATTAATGAGGGAAAGCCCATTGTGGCTGGGGCCATCCCTGGACTGGTGGTCCTCAGTTCTGTAAATAAGCAGGCTGAACAAGTCATGGGGAGAAGCCAGTAAGCAGCACTTACCCATGGCTTCTGCATCAGCTCCTGCCTCCAGGTTTCTGCCCTGGCTTCCCTCAGTGGATTGTGATTGATTCGGGATACACAAGCAAAACAAAAATTTCTCCCCAAGTTGCTTTGGTAGTGTTTCGTCCTAGCAATAGTGACTTCCAACTTGGTCAGAATGTGAGGGCAGATGCCCGCCCACCCAGGCCAGTGAATCTCTTGGAGCTGTATTTGCAGACAGTTTGGAGTCAATCGATGTGGGTTCTGGAAATTGAACTTGGGTCCTCTGAATAGCAGCAAGTGCTCTCAACCTCTGAAATATCTCTCCAGCTATTGGAGTGTTCCGATTGCCTTCCTAGGTCTGAGGCCCGGGACCATTATATTGGACACTGAGTTGGTAACTGGACGGCTTAGAAGAACCATCTGGTAGGAAGTGCTGGCTGAGTTCATCGAGACAGCAGGGCCCAGCTCTCCAAGGGCAAGAACAAGTTCTGCTTAAATGTAAATCTCTCCTGACCCTGAGCTGGAGTAAAAGGCAGTCCAGGGCAGACTGCATGTTCATCACTTCAGCTCCTGCTGTCAATCAGCAGTCGCTGGGTGGACCTAGCCAATCAGGGCCTCCAAGCTTATACCGCTCAATCATGAGCGCTGTAGGGCGGCGGGAGGCGGGGTTTCTCTGGCCGCCGTGCTGTGGACTGAACTCCGCGGCTGAGGGAGGCCCCGTGGGGGCGTGTGCTGCGCTGTGGCCGCCGCTGTGAGGACAGCGCGGGCGAGCTCGGAAGCCACGACATGGTGAGCGTGGGGCCGTTGTCCCAGACGGAGAGGAGTGGCAGCTGTTGGTGGCTCTCCGCTTCTGTAGAGCTAGGCCCACTACGGTTATTGGCGACTAGGTGACTGCCGCTATGTAGCTCCGCCCTTCGGCCGCGTCTGCGCAGAGCTCAGGGCGCCGCAGGGGATGCCCCGCCCTCAGTATCGGTGACGTCACGGTCACCAAGTGGGTTTGGTACTTTTTTGTTTTGTTTTGTTTTCCGAGACAGGGTTTCTCTGTATAGCCCTGGCTGTCCTGGAACTCACTCTGTAGACCAGGCTGGCCTCGAACTCAGAAATCCCCTGCCTCTGCCTCCCAAGTGCTGGGATTAAAGGCGTGCGCCACCACCGCCCTGCAGTGGTTTTGGTTTGTACCTGGAGGCTGCTTGCTAAACTCAAGGTCTTGCCCGTTCCCTGAGTTGTCTTCACTTGTTGGTGGAGAGTCCACTTTGAATTAATTTTGTGGAAGTTGTAAACTCTTTAAGTTTTTACTTATTTATGCCTATATTGAACTGTATTACTCTCATTGAGTTTAATTTGCTCTTTTAAAAAAATTGACTGTTTTGTGGGTTTTGGTTTTTTTTTAATACTGTTTTGCAGATAAATTAATTTCCAAATATTCGTACGTTATTTTATTAAATTTTTTTGTAAAGATAAAGTCTGTTACTTGTGTACTATTTATTTAGAATTTAGTTGAATGTTGTTTTTTTTTTTTCCCTTTACATATAAACTTTAGAACAGCTTCCTGTTACAGTTACACAATATGTTTGGTATTCTTTTTGGGACAGTGTTTTGAATTTATAGTTTAAATTGAGGAAAGCAACATCTTGGTGTTGTCTTTTATTTACCAGGCTACTGCTTTTTTTATTTGATTTTTTTTTTTTTTTTGAGACTGGCTTTCTCTGTGTCAGTGATTTTCAACCTTTGGGTTGAGACAGTTGGAAAACACGAATTCCCAATGGTTTTAGGAACTGAGATACCCAGCACTTGGGAGTCAGAGGCAGGAGGATTTCTGAGTTCAAGGCCAGCCTGGTCTACAGAGTGAGTTCCAGGACAGCCAGGGCTACACAGAGAAACCCTGTCTCGAAAAACAAAAAACAAAAAACAAACAAACAAAAAAAAAGGAACCCCGAGATACCACTCAGTAACAACATTACAATTATAAAGTAGCAACAAAAATAATTTTCAGGCTTGGGGGGCCCCCGGCATTAGGAAGGTTCAGAACTACTGCTCTATGTATTCCTGGCTGTCCAGGAACTTGCCATGTAGATCAGGCTGGCCTTGAGTTCACAGAGATCTTTTGTCTCTGACTCCCAAGTGCTGGGATTAAAGACTGTGCCACCATGCCTGGCTTGATTCTTTTTTGAAAAAGAAATTTATCTTCATCCAAGGGTCTTTGCTTATGTTTGTTTAGTATATGCTTCTCTTTCTATCTCCTTTGAGCTGTGGTGCTATGTAATCAGCGAGAAACTGCTAACCGTTCAGTTGTTCGCTATTATACTGGAAAATGATGGACTTTTTCCAGGACTACAGAGTGAGTCCTGGAACTCACTCTGTAGATCAGGCTGGCCTTGAACTCAGAAATCCACCTGCCTCTGCCTCCCAAGTGCTGGGATTAAAGGCGTGTGCCACCACTGCCGGGTGAATTTTCTATTTGAAAAGACTTGTATTTTATGTGTTATACTTTTAAAATTTTTATTTTTGAGATTATAATACAATTAACCATTTCTCCGTTCACTTTCTTCCCTCCACACCTCCTCCCATAATCCTCCCTGGTCTCCTTCACATTCATGGCCGTTTCTTATTTCATTAATTATTATTGCATGCATGTAACATATATATTCCTAAGTGTAACCTGCTCAGTCCATGGAATGTTACGTGTGTATGTTTTCAGGGCTGGCTATTTAGCATTGGACAAGCAGTCCGTGTGCTCTTCCCTGGGGAAGAGTATCTCTCCCGCTCCCAGATTCCCTTAGCTCCTGTAGTTCTTTGTGTAAGATGTAGGCACGTGGGCTGGTCCCTACCCACATGTCCATTGGTGTCTTTGTTCAGCTCATGTTTGGTTAGACTTCACGAATGATGAGATGTTCCTAGGAGACCGAGTCTCTGGCAAACTCCCTGATGCTCTGATCTTAAAACCTTTCTACCCAAGACTTATTTTTATCATCTCAGTTCCATCCCCGTTCCATTCTTCATCTGGCCTTCATGCCTTTCCTAACCTTGTGAGCTTGGTGTGGCTGGCCCAAGCTCACTGGCTTACCACAGGGCCACCTGCCTGGCTGTGCCTCTTGTAGCTCTGTTAGATGAAGCCACTTTCACTGTCCCTCCCTCAGTCCTGCCTGGCTCTGTGAGCCTCCATGCTTACTTTCATGCTGGAGAGAAGAGCACAGCTCACTGGTAGGCCAGCACTTCACAGCCACAGGACCAACTTAGTTTTTTCCATTTGTACTGTCTTGCCATTTTTGCTTTCTGTGAGCCATTCTTCAGGCTTTACAGCCTTCTAGAAGTTCACTAGCTTAGCATTTGGCTTTCTGTCCACTTGTCTTCAAGAACTCCAGCTCCACACGAGTCTTGCCTCACTTACCTCTAGTGATGTGGATAGACCATGTTCTTTGCTTTGCCCTTCTTTCAGCTTCTCTACACGGCTTTATTACTCTATAGACCCACTTTAGCCCATCTCTGAGATCCGTCAGTGCTTTCCCTGAAGCCTAAGTACTGAGTCCCTCTAAGTAGCTCAGCAAAGCCACTACAGCTCTACACCACATTCAGGGTCGTTGCTGAATTAGCATCTTAGCTCTCCAATGACCTTAGTCCAGTCTTGCCTGGAGAGCTGGGCATCATCCTGTAGCACCGCTCTCACTCCCAATGCGCTCATGCCCACGCTCTCCGCATTGTTTCTCTTTCTGCCTGACTTGTCTCTTGGGTTCTAATGTTTTGGGTACCAGAGAAGGCTTTTAAGCTTAGATCTAACTTGCATACTTTTTTCATCATATCTTGCCACCTTTAAGAGATTGGTTAGTCCATATTCTCTGTCTTTCCTGATTTCTTTTCCAAATCAGAGGCTAATGCAGAGGCTAGCAAACACATGTCCTTTCCATGTTAGAATTCCTCCTCCAATAGCCATCTCAGCCTCAGACACATTTCTTATTACACAAAACAGTATTCAGGCAACTTCCCGGGCAGCTTGCTGGTAATCTGCTCTTCCATGCTGCTCTGGAGGGCTTGCAGTATTTGCTCTAGACAGCCAACTCTTCCTAGAGAGTATTCACATGGCAGGCCCCAACCCTGAAGCAAGCATGCTGCTTCTTACCACATAGCAGAGACTGACAGCCTGGAATTCTCCACAACCCCCTCACCCTAATTCCTTTAGAAGATCCACCTTTTTAAATTTTTTTTCTTTAGATTTATTTATTTTATTTACATGAGTACACTGTAGTTGTCTTCAGACACACCAGAAGAGGGCATCAGATCCTATTATAGATGGTTGTGAGCCACCATGTGATTGCTGGGACTTGAACTCAGGACCTCTGGAAGAGCAGTCAGTGCTCTTAACCGCTGAGCCATCTCTCCAGCCCCAGGGGTTCCATCTTTCTCACACTACCTATCCCGTGACACATACAACATCTACCATAACAAGAAGGCACACTGCCACTTAGCACATAGGGAAGGACAGCCCTATCAGAATTTCCTTCACCCTCAGCCTGGTCAGCCTTGGTTGCAGGCCAAGACCATGAAGTCATTCCTCCCACACTCACCGAATCTGTCATTTCCTTGCTCTGTTGCCAAGTATGTTGTATGAGTCTTTCCTGCAGAGACATAACACAAATTCTGCTCACCCTAACACAGAGAACCAAGGATAAACCAACATATAAACCAAAGTCCCACCAGTGTCCATCTTGGTGATCCAGTGGCTCTGTTGGGTTTACCTAGAGGCATATGGCTGAAGAACTTTCTAGAGGAGCAGGGATGAGGAGGAGTCATCAGTATCGTGGAAAGGCCTGCCCGACACAGGTGGCGACTCATGAAAGCTGCATCCTGGAGCATTGTGCAGGACGTACTGAGCAGGGCTTGCAGGCCACTCGACAGCTAGACAGGTCTCCTCTCTGGAAGTCATTTGCCACTTCTATACATTTGGGGAGTAGCCTGTGAATGTTGTAAATTCCTGCTTTCCCAAAGAGGTGAAATTACTTCTCAACTTCCCTGAGCTTCAGCTTTCATTCAGGAAGGACTGTCGGAGAGAACTGCCACATAGCAGCCTATAGATAATTTATCTTTTAAAAATAATTTATCGGGGCTGGAGAGATGGCTCAGTGGTTAAGAGCACTGACTGCACTTCCAGAGGTCCTGAGTTCAAATCCTAGCAACCACATGGTGGCTCACAACCATCTGTAAGGAGATTTGATGCCCTCTTCTGGTGTGTCTGAAGACAGCTACAGTATATTCATATATAATAAATAAATAAATATTTAAAAAAATAATTTATCTTAACTTTGATTTTTTTAAGGTAGGTTTCTTTGTGAAGCCCTGGCTGTCTTGGAACTCACTATGTAGACCAGCTGGCTATGAACTCATAGAGGCCCACCTACCTCTGCCTCTTGAGTGCTGAGATTAAAAGCATGAGCCACCATGCTCAGTCTCATTTACCTGTTTAACTGTTGTGGTACTACACAGGAGTGCCCACTGGAGTAGCTCATTAGACTCCTAAGCCACAGTTTCCTTACTGAAGGATGATGGGAGTTTAGAAAGTTTGCTAGCATTTGCATAAATCATTTACGTTGAGTGATTTATCCTTTATATTCATGTGAACCCTATCAAAATACGAAGTTCTCTCATGCCATCAAACTTTAAGCATTGCGAGGAGGAATTTCTAAGGACAAGTAGGCTCTTGCTTGCTAGTGTCACTGTTCCGGACCCCGGAGGGAGGGCTGTGAGACAGGAAATAGCAATCACTGTATCAGGACTGGGGCAGAGCAGCAGCACATCCTGTGTCCTGAGCCCAGGAGTGACAAAGTGCTGCTCCAGTGCCACTCCTTCCGCAGCCCTCGGTGCTTGCATGACGACTTCCGTGTGGTGGAGGACGTGTGCATCCCACAGAGTGGTCAGTCAAGTATGTGCAATGTTTAGGTCTCAGTGAGCTTTGAGGATGTGGCTGTGCAGTTCACCCAGGACGAGTGGGCTTTGTTGAACCCTTCCCAGAGGAGTCTGTACAGAGATGTGATGCTGGAGACCTGCAGGAACCTCGCTGCCGTAGGTAAGGCTGTCATCCTACCTTCACTCTGTAAATGAGGGGCACGTGTCTCTTGCTGTGGATGCTCTTCTGGGATTGAGGCTATTGAAAGGGAAGAATATGGTGAGCAAATCAGGCATGTTTTCTGTGAATATTGAAGTTAGAAACTAATTTTTTCAATGATCTCTAATAATTTATCCTAAATTTTCTGGGAATGCCTTATAGGAAACAGATGGGAAGAGGAGAGTGCTGAAGACCATTATAAAAATCCCTGGAGAAATATGAGGTAATTTCTATGAAAAGTTGAAGCAAAGGAACTTGAAGGAATTTTAATGTCCCACAAACATTTAAGAAAACAAAAAACAGCTTTCAGTTTTTTCACCATTAGAAGAATTATCCCTGTATTATGGCACTAAAAATGTGTACTGGAATGTAAGAGCACCGATCAGCGTTTGCCAGGGTTTTCTCTTGGAAACGCATCCAGGAACTTGTACCAGTGAATGCTACTGTTCCGATTACCACACCATGGGAGCCACACTATAAAACCATCAACCTATTTGGTTTCCTACTGTTCAGATGTGCCAGAAAACACATCCTTGGCCTGATTTTGGGAGTAGCGTATGACGTAAATCTAGTAAGCAGTAAGTAGTAAAGCAGTGTCTCTAACGACCTTGTCCTTTTTCAGATGTTCCCCGTTAGCGACTCCCTGTGAGAGGACAGCAGATGGTCAGGTTGAAGACAGTCTGACATGGAGAGCAAATCTTCATACAAGCATGATAGTTTTTCCAAGACTAAGACCATGTGAATCCAGTGTATGTGGGAAGGCTTCGAGGAGTCATCCATCCTCCGATCGGTGTGCCACATCTCTCCCTTGTTATAAACCACCATCCTCCGATCGGTGTGCCACATCTCTCCCTTGCTATAAACCACCATCTTCCGATCGGCGTGCCACATCTCTCCCTTGCTATAAACCACCATCCTCCGATCGGCGTGCCACATCTCTCCCTTGTTATACACTGCACGCGCATGAGGAATGTGGAGCCAAGCAATACGACTTGAGCTCTCTCAGCAGCTTTCAAAGGTGTGTGGAAGCCCACACTGGCGATGGGCCTTGTGAATGTGAGGGACGCTTAAGATCGTCCTGTTTTCCAAACTCATTAGGAATACATCAAGAGGTTCACAGTGGACAAACACCCTATCAATACAAGGAGTGTGGGAAGACCTCTGTTTATGCACATGGAGGAAGCCCCACTATGGGGAAGCTTTATGAATGTAATATATGTGGTAAAGCCTTGAGTTCCTCTACTTTGCTTCAAAGACATGTAATAATTCATACTGAAAGACTCTATGAATGCACCTATTGTGGTAAAGCTTTTAGATATCCCAAATACCTTCGATTACATGAAAGAATTCATACTGGAGAGAAGCCCTATGAATGTAAACAATGTGGGAAAGCCTTTAGATTTCCTGGTGCCTTGCCGTTACATGAAAAAATACACACTGGAGAGAAGCCCTATGAATGTAAACAATGTGGAAAAGCCTTTAGATTTCCTGCCTCTTTGCCGTTACATGAAAAAATACACACTGGAGAGAAGCCTTATGAATGTAAACAATGTGGGAAAACCTTTAGGCGACAGTATCATCTTCAGTTACATGAAAAAATTCATACTGGAGAGAAACCCTATGAGTGTCAGCAGTGTGGGAAAGCCTTCAGACGACATAGTCATCTTCAGAGACATGAACGGACTCATGCTGGAGAGAAACCCCATGAATGTAAATAACATGCTAAAGCCTTTACACTTCTTAGTTCTCTTCTGTTACATGAAAACATTCATACTGGAGAAAAAAATGCTGTCAGTGTAGCTGTCAATGTTGGGAAGCCTTGCACTTACGTGAAATCAATCTTACTAGATTCAAACCCTATGAAGTAGACTGATGAAGTCTTTAGGTGTGCTTGTCATCTTCATTAAAAAAATTACCCTGGAGAAAGCTGTGTGGGTGTGAACATTGTGGTGGAGCTCTTAGGTATTACACTTGACAGTGACAACTCCTGCTGGAAGGACATTCTCTGAATGTGAACAGTGTGGCCAAAGGCCACACATCACAGTACTCTGTTTCCAAAGTATTTAAATCCTAACCTGGGGTTTCTACCCCACCTTTACTATGTAAGTTCCTGGATGAAAGAGGCACACGACCTTTATATTTATAAGCCTCAGACAACTCGGGAGCTGAGCAGCCACTACTCTCTATTGTTGGAGTCTACTTTCCTGTCTAGAAGCCCAAGTTATTGGGCTACATTCTCCTGACTCCTAATCCATGGTGGTTTCTCCTTCCTCCTGCACTCTTCTTTCTCCTCATGGTCCTTCTCCAACCCTAAGCCCACAAAACTTAAGCCCCACCTATGTCTCTTTTGCCCAACTATTAACTGTTAACATCTTTATTTACCAATCAAAAAAATGTCATATCTCTCAGACAACCAATCTTAAGGGCCCCAAATTAACATTAAAATACAAACAACATTAGGCCAACCTACTACAGTCTTCTTTAGATATGGTATAACTCATGTGAGAAAAACTTTATAAATATTATATATATATAAATATATAAAAATGAGAATAGACTCATTTGTATAGTATAGATCTCTTCAGTTCTTTCATACTCAATAAAACTAAGCATGTAAACAGTTTGGAGAAGGCATCATGTGTCATGCTTTCAGCAGCAGTGTCAAGTGGGGCTTTTAACTGGGGAGACGTGAAATAATATTTACTTACCTCAGTGGGAACCAAAAATGGTCTTCCAAAGCCTAGCTTAGTAAAGTAGTGATTCTATTTGGGTTACTTATAGAACCGTGGACAAGTCACAAGCATGTGCTTCAGCGAACCACCCATGCAGGCTCGAGTGTTGACTACACCCTAGAGATGTGCACAACTTGGAGGGAACTCAGCTGGTCAGAGTCTCTTCTGTCAGCGGTTGTTTACTGGTCCATAACCTCGAGGAGGTACTCTGAATGTTTTAAGTCTTAGCTTTCTGGGACTTACAAGATAATTCATTCACTTCCTGAGTCTGATGAGCCTTTCTCCTTCCTCCTAGGAGAATGTTTCAATTTAGAGGATGTAGCTGGACAATCCATCCTTTCCTGTGACTCCTACCTTTTTTTTTTTTTATTACCTTTTGAGTCTTGGAAGGGTGATGCTGCTATCAGAAATGTCACTGGTGGTTATGAATCTCTGAGGTACACCATCATTGTAAAGTTTGCTCCCAGGACAAACTGCAGACACCAGTCACAGTGGCCCATGTGCATAAGTGCAGATGTTCATGAGGCAATTTGTCAGATATCACTTCCATCAATAAAACAGTAGCAGTTATTTTGCAGCTGGGGCCCATGATGTGTCAGCCACAGGACTTTGTCCTGGCTTATGGTAGCAGACATGAATTTCCTCCCATAGATTTGCCTTGAATCCAGTGAGAGAGCTTGGTGCACCCATGAAAGTCATGTCACTGCTGTACCACAAGCACAGCCTGCCTAGCTTTTTGGTACCATAACACAAGGTCTTACCTGAGCAACACACTTAGTGAAACCGCTCTCTGCAACCTGCATAACATCAGTCACTGTGAAAGCTAGCAAGTATGAAGGGAACCTCTGGCTTACTTCTTTTTTTTTTTATTTTTTTTTATTTATTTTTTATTTTTTTTTAAACTTTATTTATTTATTTATTTATTTATTATAAGTACACTGTAGCTGTCTTCAGACACCCCACAAGAGGGCATCAGATCTCATTGCAGATGGTTGTGAGCCACCATGTGGTTGCTGGGATTTGAACTCATGACCTCTGGAAGAGCAGTCAGTGCTCTTAACCACTGAGCCATCTCACCAGCCCCCTCTGGCTTACTTCTATGCTGTTTTTTTCATGTCCTGTTGCCACAGAGCTCGTTGTCAGCATTAAGGTCTTATCCTCTGTTTCTGGCATATAACCAAGAGCAATGGCAACATGGTTTGTGGCGTCTCAGGCTCGGCCTTGGCCAACAATTCATATTGAGGTGGCTTGCCCTTGATAGTGAGATGGTCACTTAACAACTTTATGGGCTTTTTGTCTCTAGGGTGCATCCTGTACTTAAACAGCTAAAAAGCCGTTGTTTTAATATCCCATTAAAAATAAACCTGGGGCTGGAGAGGTGGCTTAACAGTTAAGAGCACTGGTTATTCTTCCCAAAGGACCCTGGTTCAATTCCCAGCACCCACTTGGCAGCTCACAAGTGTCTTTTAACTCCAGTTCCAAGGGATCTGATATTCTCACACTGTCATACATACAGCAGAACACCAATGCTCATAAAAGGAAAGTATATAAAAAATTGAACTTAATCCCAGTATCTTTTCTCAAGATGGGTGAAAGTACCATTACACCTGGTTGTCTTTAGTGTGGGTCTGTGCACTTGTGTTTCTGAAATGAGTACCTCATTCACTGACAGTTTTCTGAGTTGGGTGAAACCCTGATGGTGGCTTCATGTGTTTCTCGATTGCATGGAAATGCTTGTAAGATGCCCGGGCAGCTTCCACTCAGGTGAGGGCATATTTGCATCCTTCACCCATAGGCTTAGGTTCTATATGGCTTGCTGGTCATTCCTTTATGGGATAACTTAGCTTATGTATATGTCCTGTCAGAGCCGTTATCTACCAAGACCTCAACTGGGAAGAGAGCTCACATGCAGTAGTGTAGCAGGAGGTATTAGAAAGGAGGCATGTCCAACTGGCTCCAGGGTTAGCCGCCATGTTCCCTCACTAATGCCGGCTACTAGCGGGCTGCCTGGTCCCAGCTGGATGTCCTCTGGGCTACTCTCTCTAGCCAGTCCTGTAGCGACCAGCCGCTATGCTTCTAGCTCCGGTTCGCCGGTCCCTGGAGCCGCTAGTTCCTTCAAAGCCATAACCACCCAGTTGTCAGCGGACCCACCTTCCAGTAACCCAGTAAATCAAAACTCTAGATGCTTAAAGTTAACCAATAGATTTATATATATATCAATAGCATCTCAATACACAAGATGCCCACACAATTTAGAAGGTTATCCCAATTACCCTAACCTTTAGATCTCATATCTACCTAGTTACTAGATGCCACCTGGGTCTACATCCGAAACCATTTTGCCTTCCTCCCTCTCCCTGCGGTTTTGTTTGTTTTTTTTTTGTTTTTGCCTCTCCCTCTCTGCCACCCTTAGCTCCGCCTCCCTTTTTCCTGTCCAATCACAGGCCTCCCGCTGCAAATAGATTGGGCAGGGAAATTTCTGCCACACAGTAGCACCTTCTGCTTTGTAGCCTAGATATAAAGATATATGAAGAAAAACTATTCCTGTTTGCACTGCTTGCTTATTGCTGCTGAGTGTGCCTATTGTGGTGGCTGCGCCAATCTGGCAGTGACATCAGACTGTAGCCCCTTTGGCCTTCTGTTTTACTGAACAGTGACAACGCTAGGGATTTCCCAGGCCTTCCCTGCTGGAATGTGACTAGTGGGCATCATGAAGCTTCCTGGACTGAGAAGCTGCTGGGTTCTCAGGTAGTCCGTCACACACATGTCCTTAGTTGGGCGACACAGTCCCACCATGTAAGTTCATATACGGGATCTCCTATCACATACATACATTTTGTTCTATACTCAGAATTCTCTGAGGACATAAAAGAAGGGCTAGGATAAAACCCAACTGATGGCTGGCCATGTAGCTTTTGGGACACAGTTTCTCTGTATCATGTACAAACACCTGAGTTTAATCCCATGGACGACTATGCTGGGCTGGAGAAACAAATGCCTTACAAGAAAAATACTTTCTAATGCTTGCCCTGAGAGTACTTAAATCTCAAACAAATGGGTTAATTGTGAAAATACAGGTGTCTTCAGGACAGTTTGCACGCTCTCCTGCTTCACATAAGGACTGCTGTGTCTTCACTGGAGCATCACATTTCTATTAAGAATGACATTTTCTGCATTTTAAGAAGAGAAAGGAGGGCAGATTAATCTTAATGTGCCTATGATGATAAAGGAGGCAAAGAAAAACCTGCAAGGTTACAGGATAGACTGATAACTGGGAAAACAAAGGACCTTGACTGTCTTAGGGTTTTTTTTGCTGCAACAAAACATCATGACCAAGAAGCAAGTTGGGGAGGAAAGGGTTTATTCAGCTTACACTTCCATGTTGCCGTTTATCACCAAAGGAAATCAGGACTGGAACTCACACAGGGCAGGAACTTGAGGTAGGAGCTGATGCAGAGGCCATGGAGGGGTGCTTCTTCCTGGCTTGTTCCCTATGGCTTGCTCAGCCTGCTTTCTTATAGAACCCAGGACCACCAGCCCAGGGATGGCATCACCCACAGTGGGTTGGACCCTCCCCCACTAATCACTAATAGAGAAAATGCCTACAGGTGGATCTCGTGAAGGCATTCCCTCAGCTGAGGCTCCTTCCTCTCTGAGGACTTTAGCTTGTGTCATGTTGACACAAAACCAGTCAGCACGCTGATCTCACTCTTATGACTGTGTGTGTGTGCCTGCTTGCATGTGTATCACATGCATGCAGTTGCCCTTGTGATGGCTATTTTTGTCTGTCAAGTTGTCATTATGGAATGAATTAAAACACAAAAATGTGAGGATTATTTTTTTGTTTAGTAGGCTCATTTGAAGTATGAGATGGGAAGACATATCTTTAATCCAGATCTTTTGAGCTGGGAAAACACACCCTTAATCTGGCCCATGCCTTCTGTGGGAAGCCCACAGAAGGACGTGGGAAAGAAACCTTCTGTTCTCTGCCTGTTGCCCTCACCTTGCTAGCAAGTCCATTCCTTCACTGCATTAGAGCCTACTTCTTCAGGTCTGGCATGAACTGAAAAATGTTGTGGGGTATTCAGAGAAGACTGCTCAGACATGGGTTTAAGACAATAGGAAAAGTCCTTGTTAGCCAGCCTGTGACTACAGTGGGTGTTCAGGATCCCTGAGCATTTCTCAGGATGAGCTTTTAGTCATAAAAACCATGCTATGTGTTGATATACTTCAGTTATCAAGAACAGTTAGCCAGAAGCAGAACTATACAAGCTAAAATACAAGGTTAGTCTATTTAGAGACTTTCCCTGAGCTTTGGGCTTTGATGGTGTCTTAGAGTTTTATTGCTGTGAAGAGACAATGTGACCATGGCAACTCTTATAAAGGAAAACATTTAATTGGGGCTGGCGTACAGTTTCAGAGGTTCAGTCCATTATCATCATAATGGGAAGCATGGCACTGTGCAGGCAGACGTGGTGCTAGAGAAGGAGCTGAGAGCTCTATATCTTGCCCTGCAGGTAGCAGGAAGTGAACTGACTTGAGCTTCTGAGACCAAGGCCACAGCTACTTCAACAAGCACCCCCTAATAATGCTACTCCCTGTAGGCCTATGGGGGCCATTTTTATTAAGCCATCACAGATGGATTAAGTCTTTGTTTTAGTTTTGGCAGGTGGTACTGTCTGTGTACCGAGTTTTATAGCTGGAATGGAACTTCCATCATGAAGTCAGTTGTGCCAAGGTCTCAGGTTCTCCTAAGATCTGGGACTCTGTTACATTCCCCACTGGTCCTAGTGAATGAGTCAAACTATGGACTCATCCTGCTCTAAAGAGTTGTAGTTGGTCTTAAGAACCAGTGCTGATAGCAGAGTAGTTAGCTATCGGGGACCAA